CAGCTCGGGTGATAACCCCCCACAAACCCTGACAAAATCGGGGAGGGAGTTTGGAACGGAGTAGAAGGAAGGAAAAGACAACTTTGGGCACCGGGGCGGGGGCGAACCTGGCACCCGCTTCGGGCCATCAGCGCACGGAATAGAGCGCGGGTTCTCCGGGAGGCTGGGGCCGCCTCGGAGCCGAGAAATTGGGGGCCCCGCCCGCCCCAAGGCTCTGACACCCCCAGCCCAGTTTCCCGGGGTCCCCAACTGGGCGCCGCGCCAGAGCCGGGACCAGCGCAGAGCAGCGCCGAGGCCCGGAGCGCGGGGCGTGAAACCTGGCGGCGCCCGGGCATCCTCCCGGCCCTCGCCCCCCCAGGCGAGGGCCCCAGGCCCGGGGCGACCCCGCAGCCGGGCAGGAACTTCTGCGCCCGGAGCAGGCCTTGCGGCACAAGCGAGAGCCCGCGGCGGCGTGGGGTCCCGGCTCCGGCGAGGCGGGCAGCGCCCTCACCTACCCGAGCTGGCCGTCTGGCTGGTGTCCAGAGGCCCCGACGCCCTGCTCAGCGGCTGCAAGTGGACGCTCTGCGGGTCGGACAGCACTTCGAGGAAGGTGGGCTGCGCGTAGAAGCCGGGGAGCCCCCCGGGCCCCAGCAGCCCCATGCCGCCCACTCCCGCGGGGCTGAGCACGGAGCGCGCGGCCAGCAGGTGCCCGGAGGCCAGGCCGTCGAGGGCAGCCCGCGGGTGGGAGCTGGGGGGCTCCTTGTTCAGGCCCAGGATCTCCTGAATGCCGAAGCCCGTGCACCTGGCCGGGGCGCTCCCCGGGGTACTCTTGGCCACTGTCTCGCATTTGGGCTTGCTCAGCGCTTCCCCCGATTTCCCCGTCATCTCCCGGCTCTTCGGAGGGGCCGAGGCGCCGGTCTTTAGCTCCCCCCGCCCCACCCCCGCCGGGCTCGCCGCTCTGCGAAGTTGGTCCCAGATGCCCCCTCCGGTGTCTGATGCTCTGGAGCCCCAAGGAGATTCCCCTTTTATCCAACCAGGCGGCAGCCCAAGTGGGGTCAGAGCTGAGCAGCCAATCACTGGGGCCAGGAGCGATTAGGAATTCCAAAAAGCTGGCAGCACCAGGGGCCTGGGCGCTGGGGGCGGGACGCCCAGGGGCAGGGTCCCAGGGCCTGAGCTGGGACAACAGAGTCAGGGCCGGGGCCGGGAGGTAGGGTGGGGTGGGATTCTGGCAGAGCCTGGCTGGGACTTGGCCCTACAGTGGGTGGGAGGATGGGCTGGGGGCAGATGTTGGAGACCTGACCCGGCCGGCAACTCTTTTGCAGGTTGGAAGGGTCTAAGAAAGCCCAAATATAGGACCCCTGTGAAACAGGCAGAACAAGGCAGGGGAAGAGCCCTGGTCAGGGTTGT